GGGCTTTCCGAATTGTTACATGCATGTAGTAGGAACATTTTAGTCATTTAGTAAAAAAAACTTTTTAGTGCAAATTCTGGTGCCATAAACAGTCATAATATTTCTTTTCTACTAAAGTTCGAAAATGGGTGTAAATAGATTTTTTTCTTTAATTACGTTTTGGGAGTTTGTCTATTAAAATGTGGAAAACACGGTACCAAACAGCTTTACTTATTAATATTGTGAGAGTGAGACTATCAAGAGAATCTGTTAAACAAGGGAGAGCGAAGATCAAAGCTAAATAACTCGCAGAAGCTCTTTTGGTAGCGAAACGAAGCTCAGTGAGTTAAACTTTATTTTATTAGAATTTCAAAACGTAGAAGGTACTTTCACATCAGGTGTTCGATCATGATGTTTTTCGAGAATGCTTGATGAAAAATGAATGTGATGAAAAATTAAAGTTAGTGACTGTTTACAATTCTTTTGAGATATTTAGGCTAATATGTACATTAGATAGCCTAACGTGATAATTGTACTTTGAGATCTAGAGTTTTGGAGAGGAAAGTGAGAAACTACGCTTTCGAGTGATTGCAGATGAATTTTGGATAGCATCCAAATTTTTTTCAATAATGCTTCTTCGCCAGAATCGCTCAGCCTAGAAAATCCAAAATTACTTGTCTGCCTTGTTTAATGATTGGGTAAAGCTGAATGGCTTTTAATGTTCGGGAAAAGTATCTTGTTTGAAGCACTTTTTTTGTGAAAATTCTTAAAGGTTATTAGAATTTAGGAATAGGTACATTTGGGTTTCATCCTTAAATTTTGTTTCCTATTTACGATGGAGCAGCCAGATTTATGATTCACCAGAAATATTGAGTTTGAGATATCCTGCCAGAGCCATTCTTTTTTTAAAAAATCATATCTCCTCTACCGCTGCGTTTATTTGCGGGGCATTTGCTCTTGTGATGTACCTTGAAAATATTGCAAATTGGTCTATTGTGTGTGCGCGCACGAACCTTAAGCTCAAAAGACGAATATCCGCTTTATTTTTATTGTTCCGCTGTACACAAAGGTGTGGTTGCGGGATTTCTTCTGGTTGCTATAAAATCACTGACTAATTGTCCCTTATGATTGAGGTAGACAGCGTCATAGACAGTGATGCACCAGGAAAAAGCATGTATTAATTAATTCGGATGATTGCGATTAGCGATGCAATTTAGGAAAACTGGTTCTCACCGTGAAGGATCACAGTATCAAAATAATCTACCGCTTCAAGTCTTGTGATGGGCGAAAAAATTTGGTTTTTCCAACAAGTGTTCGAACTAACTTGTGGAAAAACGCTCCATCTAATTGTATCCATATGGATAGAGGGGGTCCTAGGACGGGAAGGGTTCATGAAACATGCTCTAACAGCGATGTTTCAGAGGTACGAGCATCTCAATATCCTTTTTTTTCATTACACTCGTATTTTTGTTAGAGGGATAATTCAACTCTAACACAGCAAAAACTCATATCTGTAAAAGCGCTTTTCGAGCAAATAAGCGACTTCCTATCGGGTCGAAATTGCTGAAGATTCGAAAATGTTCGTTTCACTAAGGAAACTAGTAAACAATTACGTTCTTCAATCTCCTTCACTTAGCATCATGTTCTGTCACAACATGAAGAAAGTTTCCTTTTCTATGACTATTCTACGAAGTTCGCTATAGATCTATACGAGACCTATCGGTGACAAAAGTGTAAAAAATAGCAAAGTTTTGGCTAAAAAAAATGGTTGATTTTTGGAATTATGCCTGAGGTTTTCCTGATTTGGATTGTTTTTTATTAGGTGAAGATTGTAATTCCGAGATCGAAAAGAATAATAGGAACAGTGGAACTTAAAGTTTTGGTCTGGAAGAATATATTCTGGCATACACTAAAATACGGGGAAAAAGGTTGTCTTACATAACAATGAGAAAATTTGTTTGCGTGTTTCTAAAGAAAAAAACTTTTTTTGGATAGCCAAAACCCTCAGTTTGCTGATTACTCCTTATCGCATTGTATGGTCGCAAATCTAATTGAGCTAGTCTATGAATGAGGTGCTGATCGCAGTTGTCACTGTCGATGCACAGTTTCTCACCGTCGGAAGACAGCTAGATGCGCCGTATGCAAGTGTTGTAAGGATTATCCGAATATTCAACAGGCGCATAGGGATATCTGTCACGGCTATAAGGTCAGCAGTTGCTAGCTTCTACAATTGTCACCAAATTTATTGCTATTTTGAATGCGCGCAGACAGTTGCTGGGATCTGTGTAAAGGATTATGGGAGAGCTAGCTGTATTCACAGAGGATGATTAATTGACGTCTTTCTGGCGGATTTTGTCCTTCCAGATGCTAGCAGTATATGTAAAGTAGCTACAATGCGAGCAGTCCAGTCCAAATAAATATTAGATAAGCAGCTAATACAAGAAAACACAAAAATTGAATGCAATGCCTAAAACTAATGCTCAACAATATTACCGTGTAAGTATCCCCCTCAGAGATACTAACACTGGGCGCGACTAAATAATAACTAAAGTAGAAATTTTTTAAATCTTATTCGCTTAAGTAAGGGTGTGTCCCACACTTATAAAAGAAAAAAATTCAAGTCCAATTTTTAGTAAGAAATTTCTCTTGGAGATGAAAATTTGAATAAGTTTTTGATTGGTGAAATTTGTAGGGCGTATAAAAGGCAATTCTCACTCGCGAGGCATTACCTATGTTTTGCACACCATTGCACATTTACACTGGTAATTTTTTTTTAGAAAATGCTGCTAGAATGTGTGTTAAAAACCTAGCTAACGATTAAGGGCGATAATGATACACCTACATGCTTAGAAAAAAATGCATTTAATTCGAAATTGAGTTGAGCGAGCTAATTATATATTTTATTTAGTTGATTTAGGGATCTGGGACTGCTCGCGCGGACTATTAGAGTTTATCCTTGAAAATTCAATCAAAGATCATTACTAATTTGGTAATATATTTTTTCGGTACCTTTTTGTTTTCTGAAATTTTAGATTCTCTTCTATGAAAAGTTGTTTTATTTAACAATCACTGCATACTACTAGTTGATTATACTATCAAAAAAAATTAAAAATGACTCACACATTCGTTCGTTGTGACTTTGGGTGGCGTTGTTATCGTTGTCGATATGGTGGGGGGAAGGTAGGGAGGGGAGGAATTTTCAAGGAAATTGTTGATTAGAGCTCAAAAAAATCTTCCCGGGACTTCCATGTCAGGATAAAAGGCTGGCCTTGCCTTTACCTGATGTGTAGCGGGGTTACATGAGACTTACTATAATGTTTATTATACAAGTTATGTACAAAAGGGGAAGGGGAAAGGGGAAGAGGGCACCAGCTCCTGCCGGCGGGCGGAGGTCACTGCCAGAGGTTGGCTGTCATCGGCCAACCTCCTTCTCGAGCAGCTGTTGTGACTAGCTGCATCCCGACATCATCAAGGTAAACTTAACCCTAGCATAGAGCAAGATTAGATTCACTGTTACACTTCGTACGAACATCAAGTAATTTCGCGATGCACCACTCAGGCTTAGCGATACTGTTTTGACAAAAAACACATATTTATAGCTATTACCAAGTCAAATTCCTATGGCCTCTACTCGTGTTTTTTTAAATGTTATCCACCAGTGTTATATTCAGTCGAATGTTATAGTAAAAGATTTAGTTTTAAATGAAGTACACGTCCAACTGAGGGCTCTGATATGACGATGTTTAACAAAGCTCGGCTGGGGCTCCCTCAGTCGCATTTGAGTACACCAATATTAACAAATTTTACATTGTCATACTGTCGTAGCTCAACCAAAAACGCTTTGATTCAATCAATAAAGTACTAAAAAATTTTACCTTGATTTTTATAATATGATTAGACGAGACAAAAGGTGACTTAACAAACTTGAGATAATATCAATTAGAAATATGTGTTTGTTGTTAAATAGTTTCGTTAGGGTAAGTAGTGCATCGAGAGATCACTTTATGTTTGCACGAAGTGTTAGGGTAGAGTCAACCTTGCTCTAAGCTAGGGTTAAATTCAACCCTGATAAATCGCGTTCATGAATACGGGTTAGTCGCTCTTGGGGATAAGTTTTACCCTCCAGGGTTCGTTGATTAATTCGGGTTAATCGCTTTCCGGGTAAGGTTTACCCTCAAGGGTAGATTTAACCCTCGGGGTTCGTGAATACGGGTTAGTCGTTTTTCAGGATTAAACTTACCCTCCAGGGTAAGTTTAACCCTCAGGGTTCCTCGATGAATACGGCCACTGGTTTCAACCCACATCAGGCAGAGATCGGACCTACTGGCATAGCCTCGCACTAGTTCGCAGCTACAGTATATCATATCGTGCGAAGAATCCATGTCTGCTTTCAATTTCCTCAGTTTTTACTTGGATAATTGCCAGCGTTGTGCATTCCAAAACCTCCAGCGATGCGGACTCGCTGCTGCCCGTTGAATGTTCAAACTACCCCGGATGAAATAGACTGTAGATACATGCATTTAATCGAGTATTCGATTATTCCATCCGGACTCCCGATTAGATACCGTCTGCGCCCCAGATAGGTTCCCATGTGAACCAGTGTGACGTGGTGCGATGCTGCCTTTCGCTCTTTTTGACACGTTTCTCCTGATATTTCGACGGAAGTGCCCGAGGTTAACACGTTCAAAAGTGCGGAAGGCAGCTAGATGACGTGGTACCTATGGGAACCTCTCTGGGGCGCAGACGATATGCGATCAGCGCTGATTGTTCTCTTTGGATCCCAATCGGATATGTGATCAGGTTCATACTGTGTTCGCTCGATTTGTGCAACTACCTGGAGTGGGAAAGGTCCAACAGATTCGCGCGAATTTTTCGACTCCATGCACCGCAGGCATGCGCGCTCTACGGAGAATTTTGCGCGCGGATCAGAGACCTTGTCTGTTTTCAATCATCATTTTCCATGTTCATACTATCTCTTCAGTGTGTTTTTGTTATTTGCATGCCTTTTCGTGTAAAACTTAATGAAAACATTATTTCAGGGGAAACCACCACCACCTGATAAGCTATGGTGAGTTCTGTTTTGAAACAGTTCTCTTTCTGCAGAATCTGTTTTGTTTCCAATCTCCTAAATCATGTGAATGCTTAAACTCACCTTACGAATTTGCAGTTTTTTGTGTCTACATCAATTTTTTCTCACTAGCCCTTGCTTTACAATGGGTCGTTTTTTTTTGGAAGCAAGCATGAACAATATTACCCAGCACGACCAAAAAAAGCTTAGTAATTAGTCCCGGTCGTATTGGCCTTAACGGACCAAAGGGTTGTTTACCCACGTAGTTGTAGTAGTAGTCAGTACGGGATGCATTTTCGTCGAGCAAAGTTGCTTGAAATGAATTCGGGAAGCATTTGTAGCCTTGTAGCAGAGGATTTGTAATGCCTTTTCAAATGTTGTCTGTTAGTTCTAGAAAATATCTGTAATGTGTCCATATTTTCAACTTGAGCGAGTGCTATACACTATGACATAGTATGTTCTCTACAAAGGCTTACACTGGTACGCCGTACCAGTAATGACAGCGGTAACAGCGTGTATGGCCGGCGCTCAAGAATAGCTTGGGGGGGGGGGGGGAGCAGTGCTATGCACAAGTTGTTAATTCATGTTCTCGTTTGCAGGCGAGACGCTATGACAGTCGTACAACTATATTTTCACCTGAAGGACGTCTTTACCAGGTACTCGCGCATCAATTTTATAAGTATACATCGTTCGTGCGCTGTTTTCCATTATTTCGCATTTTTGCACTAGTGAAAGTGTACCGGACATAAAGGGCAGGGTCCGGAAAAGAAGTCGATTTTGAGATTTTGTTGCTTACGTGGCCTTTTCGCTATGCTGAATCCGAAAATCCACACTGGAGAGCGCGAAAACGGCGAAAAAGAACTCTAACGCAGGAGGGAAGTTAGCAGGTGGACGAGGTCTTCCCCAAAATTACCCAGCTTCCGAAGCGATCACCTCGCTTTTGCTGGCCGCCCTGACATACCCACCGGCAAAGTGACTTGAAATCGAAACCGAGGGGTCGCTCCGGATGTTACGAGCGTAAGATCGCAGCGGAGAAGACCCCCCGCCCCCCCCCCCCCCCCTGCTAATTTCTTTCGTGCGTTAGAGCTCTTTTTCGGGTTTTGCGGTTGCGAGTGTAGTTGGAACTCAGCATAGTAATAGGCCGGGTAAGCACAAATCTTAAAACCACTTCTTGCCCGGGCACTGGCTAGAAGCTTTTTGTATGCTCTGTCTCAGTGACGGTGACCCGATTTGAGCTCCTTGAACGCGTGCGGCCGTCTCGCTTGAGCTCTGCATCGCGTTCGCGAACAATCCTCTGCTCATTTTTACACCTCTTGGAGCGAGGCATGGGCAAATTGGAAAACACTATCGCGAAAGTGGTGCAAAGCCCAGGGATCGTTCAGACCGCGCCGAAATCCGTTCAAACCCGCCCAAATACGTCCGAATCCGCCTGAACGCCGGAATTGCCAAAGCGCAGCTATGCAATTTGGCATATTGGAGCAGGCGCGGAATACTGCGCGCGTAGTGCATATCTTATTCAAGCGTAGCTCGACGTTACATACCGATCTTCTTTTGCAATCATTCCGATATTAGATGGATCAATCGCGCGCGTGCTCCAATATGCCAGTTTGCATGCAACCTGCTGCGCTTTGGCAGTTCAGGCGGGTTTGGGCATTTGGACGTATTCGGGCGAGTTTGGAGGGTCCCGGCGCGGTCTGAATGATCCCCCAAATAGAGCAATTACGCGGTGGCAGCAGTGGATTTTTCTTCGTTAGAATTCCCATTTGAGAGATTCAGAATCTTGAGCAGATCTTATACAGCACCTGAAGTAGCAGCGCATTTCTTATTCTATTTATCATAACGCAAATATAAAGAAAAATGAAAAAGCGGACGGACATTTACAGCCTCATGGAGAATTAATCATCATTTAAACCTCTTTCTGCTATTAGGTCGAGTATGCAATGGAAGCTATTAGCCATGCCGGTACCTGCCTAGGCATTCTTTCCACTGATGGCATTCTAATTGCCGCAGAGAAGAGGAACGTGCACAAGTTGCTCGATGATACGGTAATACATTTTGTTTATTTTGTTTCCTCACCTACAATCAAAAAGTGCGATTTGTATGAGCGTCTTCGCCTGCTCTCGATGTAAAGGGAATGTGGTACCAAATCTATGATAGTGTTATCTGCAGGTGTTAGCTGAAAAGATCTATCGGCTGTCGGAAAACATCACTTGCACTGTTGCTGGAATCACCGCCGATGCCAACATCCTTATCAATCATTTGCGATGGTATGCATATTCTATATGTGTCATCAGCTTTCTCTGATATCTTATCTTCAGGTGGGCTGCGCAATACAAGCTATCATATGGCGAGGAGATGCCCGTCGAACAATTAGTACAGAATCTCTGCAATGAAAAGCAACGTTATACACAAATTGGAGGTATGTTGTTATCCCAGTACCTTGATACTGTGTATATAGTTAGGGCTTTGCAGGAAAGCGACCATTTGGTGTATCCTTACTGTATATGGGTTGGGATAAACATTACGGCTATCAGTTGTATCAATCAGATCCATCAGGCAACTATACAGGATGGAAGGCTACTTGCATTGGAAACAATCATCAGGTGAATTTTATGTAGTGAAGCCTTTTGAGTGTACAGTTCGAGAATGACGAGCGAATATTACATCAATTGATTCTTGAAGAACTTGTCTTGCACAGCGGTGCTCTACGGATTGATTACCAGAATCCTCGTTTTCTCAGGCTGCCATGTCACTCCTGAAACAAGAGTACAAGAGCCCCACCCTTGCGGAGGCAAAGAAGCTCGCTGTGAAAGTTCTTTGGAAAACTCTAGATGTGAAGTTGACCAGTGAAAAAGGTAGTTTATATTTTTTGGCAGTGCTTTCTGTTTATGTTTTGGGGAAACAGCTCTTGCTCAAATATGTTGTTTTTTCGCATTAAAATAATTTTTTATGACACTGTGGTTTTTGATTTTTTAGGCTGATTATCTTTTCACTGTTACTATCCTAATCAGTCCACTCATGCTTCCAAACAAACAGACATTTTGAAAGCGGACTTTTCTTTATCAAAAATAGAAGATTGGTGATTCTGAGGCTGTGGCAGATTTTCTTTGCTAAGATAGTGTGACGTCAACTTTTTCCTTTGTAACTAATCATTTTTTTTTTCAGTTGAAATGGCTGTTCTTACGCGTCGTGACGGCAAGACTGTCGTGGAAGAGTTGACGGCTACCGAGGCGAGTGATTTGTTATATAGTATCCGTGCTCATATTGAGAGATTATTTTGTAGGTAGAGAAACTAATCAAGGAACATGAAGAAAAGGAGAAAGAAGCAGAAACGAAGTAATAAATTTTACGTGCTCTTGTTATTGTCATCTCGTATTTAATTTATGTCTCACTGGCATGTACCGATGTACATCACGTTCTTTTTTTTGGTGATAATAAATTTTTTTCTGTACATGTACTGAAATAAAAACTAGTTTACTACACTTTCGATTTCCGCTAAACATTTTCATTCATGTGGAAAACTGCATGAACCTTGCTCAGTGTGGCACTTTAGTTGTTGGTGCATCTCATTCTTAATTATGCGCGTGATATCCGTTACATCGGTGCGAGATTCGGAGTTTATTCTGCCTTATCAATATCGTTATTATATTATTTATTATATTCCGCTATGAATGCAACCATACTGACACGGTCTTTCGTTATATGGATGCCGCAATCACTTTCAGATGTTGACAACTTCTGAACTTTCCTTCCTTCGACTTCTGGATCGAACAAAGAAGTTAGCCAGAGAGGACTTGACTGCTAATGTTTGGAAAGTGAATGCCGCTGTTATCTACTTGGAAAATTTGTTCAACAGATTGCAAGACGAAAAAAAGTTGGTTGCTTTTAAATATCAGCTGAAGCAATTTTCCTCTTATAGGATGCACAATAGCGACATGTTAATGCAGTACGGTAGAGAGCTGTATCAGTTGAAGCTTTTGGTGGAAGCGGAAAGCGGTGTGGGTTTCTCATCTACATAGCTGTTTTGTTCCCTTTTATCATATTTTCCGAGCTCCTTATTTTTCATTCTTACCGAAGTTGATAAAACCTTTGAATTCCTTAGATGATACCGTATTCATTCTGCTACCTTTATCATGCCAACGGCATGCAAATTAGCGTGCATCTGCTTTGACGTTTCGCATCACTAGTGCGTCACCTGCTAGAATCCTCATTGCTTAGTGTTTGGATCTGAATCTAGTGGGATATTAGGCGAGGGGCGTTGACGGCGCGGAAGCGGCCGCAAACGCAGTCAGCGCGATAGCGTGCGATCAGGCTTAGGTTCATATTTGGGGCCACCATCAGAGGAGCACGTATATCGGCTTGCTAGTTTACTATGATTATATGATGCTCGCAATTGCAGAAATCGTCTGAAGAAAAATTGTCACAGCTCAATCTTATACCTCGACATTTTCCCGATACCAAGGTCGATATCCATGCAAAGGGTTGGGGATTAGAAATTGTGCTAATCACGTTGAAGTTCCACTTATCAGAAGCAGCAGCGCAGCCGATAGAAAGTGCTTCCGAGGTGCGTTTACGAAATCGAGCTGTGTACAAGGCGGATCTGCGCAAGCAGTTACTTGGTGAAGAGGCGAAGCGTCGAGAAGGAAGTGAGTGCAAGCAGTATAATAATTTGAATGCTTTTCTTTGGTTTATCGCTTTGTGCGGTTGGAATTATATGAGGAGGTTTAGCGTCGGATGACTTGATGAAGCACGAAGAGAAGCAGGAAAGCCTTGCCAACGAACTTCTTTCTCTAACGCGATCATTGAAACAAAACATGAGTGTTGCTGGAAACGTTTTAAAAGACGACAATAAGGTATGGTTTAGTGGCCAGATATGCCTAGTTCTTGGTATATTTCGTCGTTCTTTGTTGACAAAATCAGTTTTTATGTACTTCTTATTTTTCAATAATTCATCCAACATTTCAGAGGCTATCGTCAATGAACGCGCAAGTTGATGCAAATGTATCAGATCTTAGAGTTGAGTCAACTCGCTTGGCTCATCACGCATACAAATGTGGTTTCGACTGTGCTCTCGTATTTGTTGCCCTTTTCATCTTCTGGTCCTTCATCTGCATGGTTGTTGTCATGAAGGTGTTTCCGAAAAGGCTCATATCTTGAAACTGTCGTGAGAGTGACTTTACGAATCGTGGGAATCATTGTTTCTCCTCGCTTCTGTAAAACAAATATTTTGTAGAGGATCTTGTCAAGCGGGTGATACAGTGATAAATTCTGTTTGATTGTATATTCAAACATAGAAATACAGGGTGTCCCAAAAAATGTATCGAACGTTTGATCTTTAATAAATTCCCTATATGGAAAGCTATCGCGGATCTTAGTGTGTCATACGGTATAGCTGGGTTCAATTTAGATTTACAGTATAGAGCGAATTACCGATTCCTCTTAGTTACTGTAGGATTATGGTGGGAATTTTCGACCAATTTCAAGCTTCTGACAGGCGAGAACTGCTGAAAAATTCAAAAAAAACCCGAGGGACGTTAAACTGACTTTTTCGGGGATGCTGGATATAATTACAAAGTTTTCCGCTACCGTACTCCTCATCTTCCTATGGTGAGGGTACTGTAACGCTAAATTTTTGGCTTTTGACGACGTGTTTCAACTGTAACGTTGATTTAGTAAATTTTGAAAAAAAAAGCCAAAAATTCAGGCTACAGTGCGCCTATTATAGGAAGATGAGGAGTACGGTAGCGGAAAACTTTGTAATTGGATTCAGCATCCCCGAAAACCTCAGTTTAACGTCCTTCGGTTTTTTGGAAATTTTCAGAAGCAGTTCTCGCCTGCCAGAAGCTTAGAATTAGTCGAAAATTCCTACCATTATCCTACAGTAACTTTAGAATTAGTCGAAAATCCATAATCCTACAATAACTAAGGAAAATCAGTGATTCGCTCTATACTGTAAATCTAAGTTGAACCCAGCTCTACCGTATGACACTCTAAGATCCGCGAAAGCTTTCCATCTAAGGAAGTTATTAAAGATCAAACGTTCGATACATTTTTTTGGGATACCCTGTATATCTTAATTGTTAATTGCCTGATTGTTGTAGCACACTCTTCAAGTCGACTCTAGAGAAAAACGAACATTTTCTGTGAGGGTGTGATCATTTCCTTTTTTCTATGTAAATACTTATGAATCCGTGAGCCTTTGGTGAAGAGAATGGAGTTATCGCGGCTGCTTTAGATTTCTTCGCATGAAATAACTCTTTCACCTAAGGAGCGTATCCTTATATACGCACTAGACCATCTCCGCTTTTGCAGGCTGGCTTCAATTTTGGGCCTTTAATCGTGGGCGCCATTTTCTGCGGTGAATCTAGCTTGAGCATACAGAGTAGCTTACAGGGTGAATTTGTTAACCACAATTTGATTGTGCAGTTGACCTTGTGATAAACATGATCCGACATAAACTGTATTGCACGGCAGATTCGCTTTTTGGAAAGACACACACCTTCGTGTAGAGTAGACGACGTAGTAGCATTCGAGTGTCTCCAAAGATCTGCGTAAAGTTCCTGAAATTTGTGTCTGCTCTCTTTGATAAGATATGGGTTGACGAATGAAGGCAATGCCCTTAATCGAATAGAGTGTTTGATTGAACGCGCCTTGAAGACGTCTTCTTTAGCAATCGAATAGCGATTATAGGCTTCTCAAAGACACTTTCACAGCTCCAATTGCTTGGGTGGTCGCGACTGCCTTGCTCTAGTTTTTCGTTTCGTTCCGGAAGTATTCGGGCGTTTTTTGGAGTGGAAGCGCTAGGCAACGTTACGTACAGGACGCAAGCAACGTGAAGCCTGTAAATCATAATCAGGGTCAAGCGCGGAGTGGCATGTTACAGGGGGATCGTTTGAGGGGTCAGGGATGTGAAGGGGGTCGTTATCGAGGTGATACTGATATTAGCGGTAACAAGATATTTGTTAACAATGTTAAATAGGCAGTATGCAATACTTGCACATTGTTGTTTTGGCCTACCATCGCATACGTAAAGTAAGCATAATAAGAGAGCCCTAAAACATAAGAGCATCATTTTCGTAATTAGCATGCCAAATAACCCCTGTGGGTCAAGTTTCGGAGAATACTGAGGTTTTCAAGTACTGGGCCACTCGAGTGAGGTAGTCATTTTCGAGCATGTTACCTTTGTTCCAAAGACGAGTTATCTACTTCTTTTTGCACTCAATGCAAAGAACTCTGGCGTGGGAAAATGTGCGCGGCCTTAGTGAGTTCTTCTCTCAAAGTGGGTCACTGCTAATTTCGAACACGAAATATGCATTTCGTTGTATCTTACGTAAAAAAACAAACTCCAACGTAAAAGAGTATTTTGGCAGTCCGTAATACTCATCTATACTTTTCAAGCTGTTTTCAAAGAGCCGCACCGATGTTGCTCAATGCGCACAAGTTTCTAATGATAAAATTCAAAATTGATGATAGAATTTTGTGCTTCACAATGTCGTCAAGGTGCGAGAATTTCCTTCAAACCAGGGGTGATTAAGAACACTCTTGATTATAGTATAGTTGTAACTCGAAGCAGCTTTCCATTGCTGTACTAGGATTTGTCAATGCATGAGATAAGGAAAGTATAAGCGCACATCCCCATGTTCGCCCAGTCGAAGCCAATTTCCCGCTTGAGTTTACTCGCTGTTATGTTTTGTATCAAACAACATGTTGGAATACTGAGTGGTGCAAAAGTAATGGGGCACCTTGATTATTTGAAAATCTCAAAGCTCTCTAAATGACTGCCAAACAACAAACGACAATGTAAATGCTTTTGTGTAATGTGACCTTGCATGTTATCCTGGCAGCACCTTGCAGTATACTTAGAGAATTCGAAAATTTTTTCGAATCTTCGAATATCGATTATCGATTTTCGATTATTATTCGACTGTCGAATAATAATCGAAAATCGAAGGTTTCGAGTATTCTCGAAATTTTGAATATTCGACATTCGAGTAATATTGAATACCGAATATTATTCGAAAGTCGAATGACATTTGATTTTCGAATAACATTCGAAAATCAAATGTCATTTGTTGTTGTTTGGATTTCAAGAATCGGATAATATTCGATTTTCGAATATTATCCGATTCTTGAAATCCGAACAGGTCGAAGTTACAATTCATGATAAAGAAACGGTTTAGTGATACATCAATAGACTTGGGAATCTAAAAGCCTACTCCTAGACGGTTGTGAAGAAACTTTTAGGAATTTGAAGAAGATCATCATTTCAAATCGTGTTGTCTCCGAGTAGGAGATCGAGCAATTACTGCGACATAGAAAGACGGCTGATCTTGCATACTGTTCAGGGTGCACGGGGGACCATCCAAACATGTGTACTTTTCATTGATTGTTGTATATCGATGCAAAGAAAATCCCAAGATTATGTGGGTACTATCCCATCATAGTTAGCCTCTCACAGATTCTTTTGCCGAAGTAGTTACCATTCCGTAGAGCTGGCTCCAGCCTAGATCTACTATGGAGCAACTGTCGATCTCTCTCCATTGTTTAGGATTACGTAGAGAATTGAAGAGGGTTTTGAGACATTCAGGGACATATTTTTCCTAACAAAAAAAAGAAAGGAAACCAAAACTCAAAACTCTTATATCAGGCTTTTAGTCACTGACTTTAAATATCAAATTTGTACCCAACCGCAATGCTTTTTCATACTTCAGATACAATGAAACAAATGTTATAGTTCTCAAAAACAAGATAACACCATGAAAAAGTTTGAAAAACTTGTGAAATTGTGTGGTAAAACCACATAGGTAAAGAATGTGCTACATAAATTGATTTTTGCAGAGAAGTTCTTTCAAACGGCATATTTTGTAGTGACTCTCTATGCAAAAAATTCCGGCGTAATCTAACAATTATCAAAAGCTACGGGTGATTCGCTTTTTGTTGCCAATGTAAGCTGAAAGCCAGTTCTACAGAATGATACTCAAAGTTTGGCAAAAGTATGCGTAAGAGAAATGTTAGCGATCAAACAGTGTGTAGACACTTCCAAACCATCCTGTAAAGCTACGAAATTTTCGATCATTCGACGGTCATCGCATTTTCGAATATTCGATGCTCGTCGAATATTCGAGTATTTCATGAACATTGAATGATCGAGTTGATGACAATGGAGTATTCGACTATCGCATAATATTCGAAAGTTGGGATTTTCGAATATTCGAATTTTCGAGTCATACCTACCTAGTCATAAGAATACCTTGCAGCTTCTCAACCAATCCTTCGACTGGTCTTTGGAGAACTCAGACAGACTTTGTCAAACGCCATCCGAATCTGTGATGCTGTACTTTGAAGCCTCTGGACATGTTACATACTACTCGAAAAAGCTTATCAAGCCCTTTCTAGCAATTACTTGACTGTGGAGAAATTCTTCATTATTCTGCATAAAGAGGCTGATTAACCCATTGACGGCAATACGACCCACCGGTGGGTCGTACGTGTACTGCCATTTCGGACAATACGACCCACCGGTGGGTCGTAAGTTTTCGAAAGCTCTAACTTTGCCATCATGCGATGGAATTCTACGGTATTCTGGCACATTATTGGAAACACCTTGACGAAGCTCTAGCCGGAGTGGTCCGGGTCCGGTATACTGTAATGTAATGTTACGGTAGGTATACCGTAGATAGAGGTAAGGCACAGATTTTAGCTCGAATTTCTCGCAGAGTGGTACTGTTTTTGACAATTCAAGTTTACATGCACAAGAAATACAGGGAGAGCATGAGACTGATGTCAGCCCATCAAAAATTATCGATTTTATTGATTTTATTGATTTTTCGCATTGTTCATCCCAGGAAGCTCAAACCTTGCACATATAGGGTTTTTAGCATGCTGATTACAAAAATTATAGTCTCAAGTTCTAATACCGCCTTCTTAAATCAGTTTTTTGATTCTTAAAAAAATTCTACCGTAGTGCTACCGTAGTCCCATTGTGGGAAAGTAGTGAACAAAGTGGACACTATAATCGTGATCAGCATGTGAAATAACCCCAAAACACAATTTTTCACGAAAATCCGTGATGTTGGGCTCGTACAGAGTGACTACCGTAATCTTACCGTATACTGCTAAAAACTGAAACA